CCATAAATAATGACCGGTCCCTTACATGCATCAAAGTGTATTTATTTTTAAGGTAGTTGAATCATAGACAAGCCATACATCATTAACATACTTATACATCATTAAATTATTGCTCACAAAATTTAGTTTCAAATACTGTGTATTTCTATTTTCTGCCGTTTGCCACTCAGACCTTGTATATATACATCAATCATGCATATGCCTCAATTCAAAGCTTTGGCAATATTAAAAGACAGGCATGCAAACTTTCCACTTCCCAAAATTATCTACTAGCTGCCTTTCAATCTCAAAGTACGAATCGATGACAATGTTATAAGGCCATATAAAAAAAAATAGTTGGTTAGCGTCCTTAGCTTTGCCAAAAGGTGGGCGGGCGGGCGCTTTTTTTTAAATTTTTACTAATTTTTAACGCCTTGGTTTTACTCACTGTTAGGTCTGAAACTGGATTTTCTTGTGCAGTACAGATATTTTTTATATATTTCAAAATATAATTCATACCGTCATTTTCGCACACAATTTTGCAAATTATTAACACAATTGACTACAGTCAACAGAAATACTACATACATTAGAGCCCATTGATCAATAAAAGTCCGGTTTTTTTAAAATAAAAAATTTAAAAAAATCCTGAGCGGGGCCTTTTTTGTGGGCGGGCGGGGACGCTAACCAACTATTTTTTTTTATGTGGCCTAAGTAGTAAAATTAATGCTATACCCCCTGCAAACCGTCGAAGAAGGGATTAAATAATACAATAATATGACATATGGGACATATATTTGTACTACGTAGGCCTACCTTTCCACCCGCCTCCAGTAAAGCAGAGGTAATTGCATGACCGATCCCTTTTGCTCCACCGGTAACAATTGCCTTGTAATCAGCCTGTTTCAGTTTTGTTCGAATTCGTTATATTTTTTCCAAAAGTTCCGGAAAGTACAACTAAATTATGCAATGTACTAGGAGTTACTCGCAAGGGGAAGTGCTGCCGTATGATGGCCATATAAAAGTTGCCATCAATACCACAGATGAGGTAATTACAGATATGAATCTCAAGGCAAATCGTGTCACACGGATTAAATAAACTTTAAAATTGTATTAATTCACTATTTTATTAAATTTTGATAATGCAGAGGAATAAAACTATACATATTATAGAAGTATTCATGTTTTTTTTTTTTATGCGAGTTATGTTTTGAGGAATTTATATCATTCGCTGTTTTGTTATTATACACGAGCATCTGAAATTCCCAGCAAGTGTATTTCACGATTTTAATAAGGAGTAGATAGGAAAAAAAACAAACTTTTGCTAAATAAAATGTTATGTTAACACTTTTAATAAAAAGAAATCAATAAAAGTGATCGCTTACCGTTACTCTTGAAGAATTAATTCCAAAAATAGCCGTCGGTAGCGTAGACTTTTAAAAAAAACAATTTTTCGTCTTTCGAACGGCGTTTTCCTATCTCTTTCCTTATTAAATTTCAGAACGACACTTGCCAGCGCTCGCCGGAAGTGAGAATTCCGTGTGACACAAAACAATCAGCAATTTGACAGAAGATTCATATCTGTATTTACCTCATCTGTGTCAATACTGACCCTGATACTGACTGAAATAGATCGCGCCAGGGCTGTGCCAACCGGTTTCTGGTTTGGGGGGGTGTATTCCAAAATTTGGGCCCTTTTCCATTCCAGCCCCCGGAAAGCAAAAATTTTTCCGGACAATGTTCCCGATTGGGGGGGGGGGGAGGTCGACGTTATGTTTTCGAAAACATAAGTTCGCAAAATCTTTCGCAAAACAACATTTTTCCAGAAATTTCAAAAATTTTCAGCCAACAATTCCTTAATTTTTTAAAAATTTTGCGATTCCAGCATGCCAGGGCCCCCTCCTCGCAAGTTGGGCCCCCCTTTTTTACTTTTGCACACCTGCAGCACGGCCCTGGATCACGCTTTGACATCGGTCACTTTGTTTTTCATGATCTTTGGAAAAATCGAGGCTTCCGACAGTTTCGGCGATGAAGTTGAAAGAAAATCATAATTAGATTGGATTGTGTTTCTTTTGCAGAAACACTCGTTTAGATTATAGGGGCAGTGTGGTTATTAAGTATTTTGTACATCATTATTAATTTATTTTCTAAACGTTTCACATCAAGTGTTTGCCAACCGAGAGCATCCAAAACATCAGTAGACCTAATATCATAACTGGCTCCAGTAATCACTCAAGCTGCACGGGATTGAAATTTTTGTAGTTTATCTTGAAGTGTTTTTCCACAGGTATCCCACAGAGGAGAACAATAATCAAAGTAGGGTTGAATTAATGCTTTGTAAATGATTTCAGTGCAGAGTTGCAGGTGGTGCAGAGTTGCAGGTGCGACGCTGTCGAATTTTGCGACATGATCAGTCGTGTAATGCGACCGAAACGCGACACTGATTTATACGTCGAATTTCCGTCGCATTTAATAAAATGAATAAATTATTTAAATTAGATTGTTATCCACAACTGTACCCTAAAATCAATAACAGCACACTTCGTGGATTCAACGAACGAGACAGGGGGCAAGGGGAGGGGGGTCAACTGCCCCCAATCTTGGAAAACCATGGAAATTCGGGTAAATGCTTGGAAAAATCAAGAAAATTCGGGCAGATTTATCAAAAAATAGATTAAATTCAGGCCTAGGTAATTTCATTACAATCCTCCACAAAAATTCAGGCAAACTTTCAACTTTCCCCCTAGAAAGCATCAGCCCCGTACGCCTATGGAAAAATTCACTAAATATCGTTTTATTACATGTAAAACGTACGTTTGCAACCGTACATCATGTTCTATGCCTATAACAGACGAAGAAATTGAGGGATGGATTCCAAATATAAGCGTTGGTTACTGCAAAAATTACTGCCCAGAAAAATCTTCCATATCAATGATTTTCTCTTTCATGATGTATGTTCTTCCGTCAATGGGAAATAAATAGACACATAATCCTGCCATATATGTGTAACCATCACTTCACAAACCTTAATGACAATTTAATGAACTCTATAAGAGGAAAAAACACTGAAAGAAAAAAAGAAACAAAAAAGAAACTGGCAGCTCTATTCTAATTGTTTTCTCCAACTGGTTTCCAATCTTGTGAAGAATGGTTGGGAAGATTTGTCGTCACACGCAAAAAGTATTCTTTAAGCGCTTTTCAGAATAGTTTGACTACGGCCGGATACTACGGTCCAACCCCAACCAATAACTCTACTGTACTGATTTTTCAAATCGACGACATGAACGAATTAATATTCGGGGTATTTACGCTTCACACAAATTGGAAAGCAGTGCCAAGCATAGCCGAAGAATCTTCTTTTTTCTATTTAATTGCCAATTACAAAATTTACAATTGCTTCTGACACCTTTCTCTTCTAATTTTCAGGATTTATTTCAAGATAATTGCTTTGGTGAACGCCACCATATTTATTTTATAGGCCTTCATATGTCCATCTTAAAGCCTGCAACACCCACATGCCTTGATTTTCCGACCAAAATTCGACGTCTAAACTGCACGCAACACTTCGGTCGAATTTCCGTCGCATAATTGTCACATTAAATTCGACAAATTAAATTCGACTGAAATTCGACGTATAAACTAGGCCTCAACCTCTTCTGCCGTAGAGGTACATGTCTATCAAGAGCTTCAAGAAAGAGCGATTTCCACACCTGCCAGGTAATAATAATAATAATAATAATGGTTTATTATTATGTAAAATGGCACCAATTGGTGAATTACTTTACATTTACATCTAGAGAATCCAAAATCTATATATATATATATATATAAATATCTACAACTTATTATACTACTATAAAATGTCTAAAAATATTTTGGGCTTATCTATTTGAGTTGCAGTAACTAACGTAAGCTGGGAAAAAACTGTTTTTGAACCGATTTGTGTTACATTTAAAAATGTCGAGATTTTCACTGTTTCGAAGTTTCCGGCCATGTTTCTGAAATCTGGTTTCTGGTATGAGATACGACAAACGATCACCACTAGTCGACTTAATTTGTTTAAAAAGTTTTTGAGATAATTGTTGTCTATTTTCCGCTAATGACAGACAACCAGACATTGAAAGTGCATCATTATACGATTGAAATGGATATATAATTCGGAAAGCTCTTCGTTGAATTTTCTCAATTTTATCAGACAAGTACGTCGGAAGACTCGAGTGCCAGACTGGGCAACCATATTGTAGGATTGATCTGACTAATGTTTTGAAGATTGTTATTAGATCATCAACAGGAAGTCCATTACGCTTTAAGACACGTATGATATATAACCGTTTAGCAGCTTTCTTTGTAATATTGTCAACATGACTTTTCCATTTCAAGTCATTCTGAAGAGAAATTCCAAGAACTTTAGCGCTATCGACAGTGTCAATTGGAGCACCATTGATGTAGAGTTGGGAAAGGTTGGGTTTATCGCGAAGAAAACTTATTCTAAGTTCTTTACATTTTTTCGTGTTCAGTTTCATATAGTTGTTAGTGGCCCAAGATGATATATGGTCCAGTTCTGACTGCATATTTGAAACACCATTTCTTGGTATTACCTCCGAAATCGACATGTCGTCTACATATTTCCAATAATCGCTCTTAAGTGGAATAAGGTCATTTACCATAATAAGGAACAAAATAGGACCTAATTTAGTGCCTTGTGGAACTCCTGCATTTACTGACATCCAGTCCGATACCGTTTCTCCGAGTTTTACTCGCTGTTTTCGATCTGATAGGAAATTACATATCCAAGGGATCAAACACCTACGTACTCCTAAATTTAAGAGTTTTTCAATCAGGATATTGATGTTAATACGATCAAAGGCCTTGCTAAAATCGAGAAGACAGACTCGTAACGAATTTCCTTGTTTATCAGCATTTGATAGCCAGTTGTGTAGCATATCCAGAAGGCATTTTGTTGTAGATCCACCCTTGAGGCTACCAAACTGTTTGGCATCAATCTTATCACATATATCTTCAGTAATCCAGTCAACAACAAATTCTTCAAGAACTTTTGAGAGGGTTGAAGTTAAGGAAATAGGACGAAAATCACAAAGGATTTTAGGTGGAGACTCTTTGGGAATAGAGGATATATTTGCCTGTTTCCAAATTTCTGGTACAACACCTGACGACAATGAAACGTTGAAGATGTCAGTGATGGGTTCTGATAAGATATATGCAAAAGACTTTAGAATTTTTGACGGGATGTTGTCTGGTCCAGGGGCTTTCATTGTATTCAGCTTCAAAAGTTTATTGCGTACTTGATATGGTTGAATAGTTGGTATCTGATCTATTGATGTGGTAGGTAGTGCCGTAGCCAGAACGATAATTGGGGGGGGGGGCAAATATTCATATATTCGTGTTCACATACCATAAAAACAATTGATTTCAAAATAAATTAATAAAGCAGAACACGAATATATGAATATGTGCCCCCCCCCCCCAATTATCGTTCTGGCTACGGCACTGGCTGCCAGATGTGTTTGGACTGGCAAATTGATTTATAGAATCCCTAGGTAGTTGGGAAATATCATGAATAAAGTCGTTTTGAACAAAATTTTTAAAATCTCTAACTTCTCTAACCATGGGTGACGTTTTTCACGATTTTGGTAACAACTAGGGATCCAAGGATAGTGTGAAGTTTCAAATTGAAAAAGACACTGCAAGAACTATATAGGGTCGCCGACAACCTAGAAAAGCTGATGGCTTACACTACGAAATAAACAGTTACCAAAGGCATTTCATCTCATTATTTATTGCTTTTAATACGCTCAGCACACGAGTAGCGTGACGTTTGAAACAAGCCTAACACATCAGAAACGTGCCTTGTGAAACTGATGCAATTTATCTATTTATTGTGATGCTACACGCGACAATTCGGAACTTAAATTGTTTCACCAACAACCAAATTTTGCATATTCTGAATTTTCATTTGCATTTGCAGCTGTCGCTAAAAGCATCCCCACGAGGCTACTGCTATGCTAAATTTATCTAAAACTATAATTGAAATAGCTGTATAAGATATGTTATGAATAATAAGCACTACGTCGTTACATCATTAAAAGGACGCATTTTATCCTCATCCGTTCCGTATTTTGTCCGCATATTCGTTCCGTGGATCCGCTCCATCCGCTTCCGCATTTTAACCTAATTGTGACATGTTTCACAATAAGTCTCATTGACCTTTGACTTTTCCCAGTGTCACGTCTATTTTCAGCTTTTCGCATGTGTTGAATACATTAATGTCACTTTAGATTTCAATAGTTTCACAGTTAAGCCACAGTATAGGGAGACAACCAGTAGGGCCACTTAGGGGAGAGAAAAGTGGGAATTATTTAAGCTAGGTCCCAGGTGTTTTACGCGGCTAAACTCATTACTCTGTAATACAATTTTATAGTGAACTGCTGCCATTTACTGGCTGCCAATATGTAAATTAGGTTGGCAGCCAGTAAACAATGTGGACACTTTTTTACACTGAGTGGCCCTACTGTAGTTTTCATATACTGTGGTTAAGCAGTGTTTAAATTAAAGCAGGTTTGACAAGCTTTGATACAGTTCTGTGTACAGAATACTACCGATTGATTCTCGTAAGATCTGGTAGAGTTTATCGTTGCACTGAACACGAGCTTGCACCGTTGACAACGGCGTTGTGCTAGACAGTAAACAAGGTCCGTGACAGTACACGTTGGTTACATGTACCTCCTTGCTTTTTTCTTATATTGCATAAAGCTTGTTGGCGAGCCAAGCGATTGGCGATAACACGTTGGCGATAACACATTGGCTATCTCCTCGTCTTTCTTATTTAAATAAGGAGCTCTGACTCAACTGATTTCTTTAGTCTCGCAAGTTATTTTCCTCGTAAACGCCGTACAAACGTTTACCCGTTTAATAGTTGTTTATGCTTTATTGTCTGGTACAGATCTGATGCAATTTTTCGTTCTTTGTACTGAGTGTAGCCATCTATTCTGTGATGTAGCACCTTATACAGTCGATGACAATGTATAATGAATCAGTACACGGTCTAAATAATATCGATGGGCACTTACATATTAATTGATGCCTGTAATGCATAACATAAATTTATATATTGTATTATTGCGTAGAATCTCAAACATTTTCTCAATATTCATGTCTGAAATGTTTATATACTTGAAAACAACACTGTCTCGCTTCTGCCTACGTACTGTACCTCTGTATAATGAGTATGCCGTGAAAATAATATCGGCACTCAATTGAATGCCTAGAATCTCAAAGATTTTCGACTCAATATAACAATATTTACGTCTGAAATGTTTATACACTTGACTGCACTGTCTAGGCGGTCTAACTCCTTCCTAGCTCTGTATAACGAATATACCGTCTAAATATTATCGGAACTTAATTGAACGCCCGTAATGCATAAAATCAATTTATATTTTGCGTAGATTTTCAAAGATTTACTCAATATTCACGTCTGAAATGTTTATACATCTGAAAACTACACTGTCACTCCTTGCATATCGTCACGCCATCGTGATCTACGGCTTGATAGCGCATGCGCATTTGCGCTACTAAAGAAAAAATCGGGTGTTCCGGGGTAAAGATCCTTTACACAACATGAGAAGCGAATGTTCTAAAATTTACAAAAAATTACAATAACAAAAGCGATTCCTCGAAATTTTTGTGAACTTGGCAAAAGGATAACAGAATATGTAAATAAGTTAACTGAAATTGCC